GCTAATATTAGTCTGTTTCTCTCTTATTCCGAGGTCACCGTAGCCACCAGATCCAGTCTGTATCCAGATCAGATGGTCACTGCAGTCACCCGGATCCAGTACGTATTCTGACCAGATGGTGGATCAGCACCTAGAGAGGACTTCTGCAGCCCTGAATGTCAGCGGAGATCAGGACAACTAGATGACCCACAAAAACAGATCCCCAGTGAGGACCTTGTCTCCTAGACGGCCACCGGGACAAGACCACAAGAACCAGTTGAGTCCTCTGCACAATGTGACATTGCTGCAGCCTGGAATTAAACTGCTGGTTTCGTCTGGTCAGAGGAGAACTGGCCCCCCTACTGAGCCTGGTTTCTCCCAAGGTTTTTTTCTCCATTCTGTCACCGATGGAGTTTTGGTTCCTTGCTGCTGTCGTCTCTGGCTTGCTTAGTTTGGGGCACTTAATTTCCAGCGATATCGTTGACTTGATTGCACAGACACTATTTAAACTGAACTGAGCTGGATGATGACATCACTGAATTCAATGATGAACTGACGTTTACTGAAAATTGAGTGTTTGCTATTATCATTTTGCATTATTGACAGAATATTTTCCTAATTAATGCTGTACAGTTGCTTTGACACAATCTGTATTGTTAAAAGCGCTATATAAATAAAGGTGACTTGACTTCTAAACCATATCTGACAAATCATCGTGGAATAAAGGATGGTTTGAAAAAGCATGTGGCCAAACAAAGCTTCGGAAGCCTGTGGCATATAAGAGTAGAATCAACCTGGGATCAGTACAATTCTATCTAATCTGATATAATCTCATCTAAATTAATTTGTGCCAATGAGACCGCAACTCGTGTCATGTAGCCTATAGCTTGGTCAACGGATTCACATATTGATCAATAATATAAAATACACAAAATATGTGATCATACTTAATAATTGACGTGGGTAGTTGAAAAAAAATATTTTGGGTGAGGTTACCTTTATGTTCTGTTAGGGGTCTCTGAGACCCCAGCTATAAAACCATGATTAAATGTCCTACTGACGTGCCCTCGAAGTGACTGAATAATCATTTTCCTTTTATTATGCATCAGGTGGGATCTTGAAGCGCCAATTTTTTCGCATGACGTTCGAAGCTTCAAACGTCATCAATCACGTGTGTTGCCAAGTCCGCGGTTTTCCCGCGGAATTGGGCTACTTTTAGTTCAGACTACACAAATTTTTGTCGGTTACGACAGTCCCTGTGTCAGATTAAGCTATTTTGACTCATAATATCTTGTCGTGTCCTGAACAAGAAACATGTCAGACTATATGATGCTACCTGACCATTCATCGCATGCCGTCATTAACAACGTGCGTGCTGTCATCAATAGCGCAAGACAAGACAGAAGGTGCTGCTATGAGCGTAAACAAACAATGGCTAGCAAACAATGTGTTTTGCCCTGTCTTGTCAGAAAAGTCCAAAAGAGAAAGAAACCCTGACAATGGACACAAATCTGTATGGCATGAAGAGGATATGGACTCTCAAAGTGAACTGAGGTAAAATAGTTTTTATTTTAACTTTTTTCACTGTGTCGCGGTAGTCCCATCATAAATGCAGGAGTATTGTTGTCGTAGCTCCACGAACATTTTCCTGCATTGTAAAATTACACCTAGCAGGACCAATACCATTGTCTCCCTTTCATTTCGGCATGTTTGAAAGCTTGTACAAAGGCACTTCTGTGCTCCTATTGGCCAGTGTCATAGCAGTGATGGAACTTGTCGTGTATGACGGGAAAAAAATTAAATATGCTAGTCTTTCTGTGTTGACGTCGTGAAGCATGGCAGAGGTGTCGTGCACTATGACACACTAGACGAGATGAAACGATTGAATTGTGCGTCCCAATGCCCATTGTCTTATACGAATCCCCATGAGACCCTACGTCAAGCAGATCGTGGCAAAATCGGGCTAAAATCGTGTAGTCTGAACGGGGCTTAACACTATTGTGTGGGTTGTTTTTCATGTCCGCGGGTTGAAGCTACCCCAATAACGTGATATTTATCCCCAGGAATGCGAATTTTACCAGGGGAACCCCAGCAAAAACGTGTACTTAATGAAAATTCTGTAACATAGTTTGGTTAAAATTTCTCAATGGTAATGTAAAACAACACCGTTTTTACCCTGTCAAATACAGCTCTTTTCAGAGCAAGCTGTTTTCTTGCATGCTGCTTTAAATGCAAATGAGCTCTGCTGACCACACTCCTCTCTTCCGAGCCGCTCTCTGAGAGATGGTAAACTTTAGCCGCATTCATCGTGAAACTTGCTAATAGCACGTGATTAGGAACGGCGATTTGTAAAGATTCATTAAAAAAACCTTACACTCACTTCTGGACGTGAAGCTGAATCACGAATGATTTGCGCAAAGATAGACGCATTTAGGTTGATCCTGAGGGGGGGGGGGGTGGCTCAGATGTTGGGAGTAAATGATGACTGCTATGTTCAATCATTATTACATCCAACAACAAAACACCTCAGTCGCTTTGGAGACATTCTTGTCTTCATCTGCTCCGGTGGTGAAACAATGGCGGATTGATGACAGCTCACTCAGGGCGGGTCTAAGGTAAAGCGCCAGTCCAGTCTGTGCTGAAACGCTAGTGTCAATCAAACAATCGTGGGAGGGCCTGGGTCTGTGTGACGTCACACAGACAGGCATCTGAGATCGGCTCAATTTGAGAAAGGGGAAATGATTTAACGAGATTAAAAAAAAAAAACACTGGGTGCATCTTTATCATTATAGGGTGGTTGGGTACACACACTGCCAACACACATTTCAGTTCAAACAGCTTGTAAAAGTGCATGTGGCATCCGATGACCCCTTTAAGAAGGAATAAAGCACTGGTGAGCTCTACAACATCAAAATGCCTGGAAGACCACGGAAGACAACTAAAGTGGATGATCGCAGAATCCTTTCCTTGGTGAAGAAAAAACCCATCATAACATCAACAGAAATCAAGAATACTCTGAAGGAGGTAGGCACATCATTGTTAAAATCTACAATCAAGAGACGCCTTCACGAATGTAAATACAGAGGGTTTACAACAAGGGGCAAACCACTGGTAAGACAAGAACAGGAAAGCAAGATTAGACTTTGCCAGAAAACATCTAAAAAAGCCTCCCATGTTCTCGAATAAGATTCTTTATACTGATTAAACCAAGATTAACTTGTACCAAACTTAAGAGGGAAGAGAAAAGTATTGTGAAAGAAAGGAACAGCTGACGATCCAAAGCACACCACATCAAGTGTCAAACATGGTGGAGCAGTGTTATGGCATGGGCATGTATGGCTGTCAATGGAACGGGCTCACTGGTGTTTATTGATGATGTAACTGCTGATAGAAGTATGAATTCTGAGGCAAAGAAATGGAATATTCTCCAAGTCAGTCGTCTGATCTCAATCCAATAGAGCATGCTTTTCAGTTACTGAAGACAAGACTGAAGGCAGAAAGACCCACAAACAAGCAGCAACTCAAGGTGGCAGCAGTGAAGACCTGGCAAAGCATCTCCGGGGAGGAAAGGTGATGTCCATGGGTTCCAGACTACAGGCAGTCATTGACCACAAAGGATTTTCATCAAAGTATTAAAATTGTGCTTATATATAGACATATACGTATATGTTTATATACAATTTATAAATTTATATAGCTACACAATATTTACAATTTGTACTTTACTCAAAGAGATATACATGTGGATATGTGATATATAGTATGTTATGACGTTAGTTAGATGTCTAATATTAACTAATGAAACCTCAATTTTCACTAAAAACCTTTAAATAACCAAAACCTGCAGCTTGCAGTGCTGCATTGGTCGATATTGAAAAATTAGGGGGGAAAAGCAAA